CCATTACCATGGCAACATGGGACGCGAAAGAGAATGCTCCAGGGCCTGAGTTTGCCTGAGAGATGGTGGTGTCCTCACTAGAGGAAAAATAAATAAATAAAAAGGAAAAATATACCTAAAGTAAACTCCTGGTCCTTACTTCCTCATTTTAAAGACCCCAAATGTCTAAAAGCAAAAGTGACCAACAAAGTGTTCTTCTTCCCACAAACTTAGCATAGAACATCCCCAGGCCAAATCAACAGGTAACTCAACAGTGAACCCCAAAGCTGAAATAGAAGTTAAGCTGCTTCTAGAATTTTTTCAGTTATTGTGAAAAATAGTCTTAACGTTTTGGATGGTAAATCTGACTCCCCACCCTCCTGCTGCTCCACTGGACAGGTGGGAAGGGCTTTAACGCTTTCTTCTCACGCCCTGATTCTCTGCTTTGTTGGTACAATGAAATTCCAATATAGTGAACAAGGACAAATTCCTTTTAAGGTGCCTTCTGATTGATTGACATGTATTTACCATATTTCCTCAGAATTCCAGCATGTCCTAAACTGCTGACATGACATCAGAAAAAAGGAGACAGAAGACCCTGCCGGTCAGGCCCAAGGCCTGCTCCTCTGAGCACCTGTAAAGGTGGGATCTCTGATAATTTCACTGGACGGGATGAGGGATGGAGAAGGCAGGGATGAGGAGCATTTCCCCAGGTAAAGCCCCTGCCCTCCATCTCAGTTTTTCTGAGCTGCTTCTCTTCATCACCCAAGGACTAGACATTTCAGCAATGCTGTGAACTTCCCTCACTCTGTGAAACCCACCTCAGCTCTCTGTGGCCTCCTATGGGTGCTGCTCTTCTCTTGGGATAATATTGGCCAGGTGAGCCACCCAGAGTCCAGGGAGGTGGACATGGACAGTGAAGCAGAATTTTCCCTATGGCAAGACTAGGAGTGGGCTGCAAATGCCTGACATCTCTGATATCGTTGCTGCCAAGTGGTGAGAGGGAGCCTGCAGGAAAATGAATCCAGCCCAGAGGGACAGAAACACCAGGGACGTCAGGTCTCAGTGTGCCCGAGAGGCCCTGACCTCCTAGGGCTGCCGCCCAGGGACTCTGCCTTCTTCATCCTAATGTGAATCGAGTTCCTCCTTTGCATGTGAATGAATCTTAACCTTGATAGCTACACAATTATCTTGATTCTTTCAAGTTATGAAGAGCAAATCGTTTAAGATGTGTAGGTGTATTCTCCTGCAAACTCTTTATAATGTTTAGGTAGTTTCAGAAAGAAGCATTTTCCCCTGTTAAGCAGGGGTACCCTCACTCTGGTTGTGAGTAGAACCCCCAAGCTACCTTGGTCTGTGATTTAATTTATGGTGGGCTCACTACTACACCAAAAACCCTATGTCAATTTTTTTTTTTTTTTTTTGGCCAGGGCTGGGTTTGAACCCACCACCTCTAGCATATGGGGCTGCCCTACTCCTTTGAGCCACAGGTGCCGCCCAATGTCAATTTTTTATTAATTTTGCTTTATCCATGGAAGAGAGAAAAACCAAGTAACTTTCTAGAAACACAGATTCTTGAAAACTTAATATGTGCTATGTTTCCAAATAGTAACTACTTAGCTTCTCAAAGGGACATTTGGGAAAAAAGAACCATAATGGATGTATGAATATATAGAGAATATATATAGTTCTTTAGAATATATACTTCAGTGTCTTGGCATTATATACACAAGGTGAAGATTGCTCTGCAAGTTCCCAAGCTTTATCCTATAATAACACAATGCCTGGAAACCAGGAGCCAAATAGCCACCAGCATAAAGAACACATGCAAAAGTAACATCAATGTTCTCGGTATCATAAGCTGAAGCCACATGGCAAAATCTTTGAAAGTATTAGCAGAACAAAGTGAACTCATACCACTGAATTCCACAAAAAATCTCAGTCAGCAGGGGGTTGCCGAAAGGCAAGAAGGGGGCCTCTGTCAACTGAGAAGTTCAGGGCCTGGCAGAGAGAAGAGGGAGTCCTCACACATTACAGTCTGAACATCAACCCAAGTAGACCTTTTCAAACATCCTATTATCAGGCTTCAGCCAAGACAAACAGCAATACCCCTGGCAGTAGTGAATCAACCAACCTACCTTCCTTCCTTCCTTCCTTCCTTCCTCCCTCCCTTCCTTCCTCCCTCCTTCCCTCTCTCCCTTCCTCCCTCTCTCCCTCCCTCCCTCCCTCTCTCCCTCCCTCCCTGAGCTGCTTCTGAGCTGCTTCTCTTCATCACCCAAGGAGTAGACGTTTCAGCAATGTCTAGACACTTAAGTCACCCTCCCTTTCTCCTTCCCTCACTCCCTCTCTCCCTCTCCCTTCTCTCCCTTCTTTTCTCCCTCCCTCCCTCCCTGATTCTCTCTACAGTTAGTTCCATTTTAGCTTAGGAGAAAAGGCCAAACAAAGAGTGCCTATCGTGCACCAAATAAACAAATAGACTAATTCTTGCAAATTATTTTCTCCTGAGCTAAACGAATTTACTTAGGAAAGGAATTTTCAGTGGGGTTACAAAATTTGATGCCATGTACACATGTATATACAAATATAGGCAGAAAGCAAGGTCTCACAGCCTTAAGTTTTTTTGTCACAAAACAGTAAAATATAGGGATAAAAGCTCACTGGTTTATTTCTACTTTATATTTTTATCCAATTTGTGTTTTTGACAAAATGGAACAAGTTAAGGCTACTTGTTCACATGGCTAAAGCTTTTCCCCAATATTTATGGGGAAGACTTTCAAGATTTTTTATTTGCACAGCTTCAAAAGGATTTTTTCTTTTTTTCCTTTCAAACCATCAATTTTTAAGTCACCAATTCCATTGGCCTAAGCAATTGTTATCCAGGTGCACCTAAAATTACATTTATAAAAAGGATGCCTTAAGTGCCTGGGCTGGTGGTTGCCATGGAGCTGCTGTGATTAAGGCCACAAATTGGAAAGCTTTTTCTTTCCCTATCTGGGCTGGAATGTGGTAGAAAACAAAACAAAAACTCCAAGTGGCTTTGACTTCAATAAGGCCTTTTGTTGGCAGGCCTGGCTGCCTGATCAGTCAGTGCAGATAGAGAAGCACTTTGAGACGGACCCTTTTATTATTGTTCTGAGCTGAGACGTGACAGGGTGCTTCAGAGGAGACCTGGATGGCAAACAGCTAAATTCTATAAACACTTAACTAGTCCTTCCACTTTTGTTTGCTTTTTCCTTTGAGATGGGCAGGTACTAAGTGAAAAAGGCAGGAGATTCAAAGTAAGCAGACAAAGAGGCAAGAGGTAAAATAGTCTTGCTGCTTCTGAGGCCTTTGGGGTCTCTTCTGTGATAACGCACTTCTAAAGCACAGTCTTCATCATCTGAAACAGTCAACACAATGGCCACTGTAATTCTAAATTATCTTTGGTACAATTCGCACATTGAATTGAAAATGTGCCCCAAGAAGGCCCATATTTGGACACAGAGCTGGCTGGGGGGCTCTGGAAGAAAGTTGTCCTTAGAACTTGGGGTTGCCTCACATTTCTTTTTGTTTGTTTTTTTAATGAAGAGATAAGATTTTCCTTTTGTGCTTTGCTCCTCAAGCTGATTTTACTTTCTAAAGTGAGGCATCTTGGATGAACCCTTGACAAGTGCTGCAGCATGGCTATGAGACTCCATGGCACAGACCACTATAATGGACATCCTGCAATATCGGTGGAGAATGAGGTATACTGTTGATGCAATCATGAAGTTATAGGCCATTAAAAATAAAAAAAAATGTTCACACATCTGTTCCAAGTTCATATTGGTCCCCAAGGTTCATATGATGGAATCTGGCCAGCTGTCCCAAGCACAGAAGCAAACCTAGAAAGGCCCTGAGGCCCTTGACCAAAGGACCCAGGGACTCAGTTTGCCCTGTAAGGCCCTGCTTGGCTGATGGAGCTGATGGACACTGTGGAGTGGTGGAAACAGCCCAGACACAGGACTGGCCTTGAGTATGTCTGTGAGGCGAGCGCTTGTGGCACCATCTCTAGCAGGGCTGAAAGCTGCTGGGACTTACCTGGCAGAAGAGGGGGTGACAGGAACTATTCCCCAGAATAGGCATCTAATGCCATGCCCTGAAGGCTCAATTATTTTATTTTAGGGGCTCTTTCCTTTCTTACTGAAAGAAAAACCACCCATACCCTGCCTGAATGGCCAGTCTGCTCATCTGGGCAGGGTGCTGTTAACCTGGGCAGGTGTGATCAGATGGTGTGTGCTTGCTGTTTCTGTCCATACTGAAGAGGCAACAAAATCCCCCGGGGACAGATCTTACTCAAGAAAAGGAAGTGAGTGGAGGGAGGGTGATTGGTGGGGTCACCTCTATGGTTTATCTTACAAGGGTACAAGTGAATCTTTCTAAAAGCAGAGTACG